ACTATGTATCATTATTATACATATATATATATATATATATATATACATATATATATATATATATATATCTATATATATATTATTCAAGCTTGAGCTGATATGCAATTAGAATGCATCCAGAACTCATTAAATTGGGAGAAAAAAAATACGTTATGAAATAAGGACAAATTTTTGATTTTATTTGTGAGACCGAACCAATATTCGTGGGATGAGAGAAACTAGCTGATCATATTACACATGATAATACATACTTTTATTAATGTACATTGCAAATGCACTACATGAATATATCGGAGGGCTGGCTCGAGATTCATCGAGAATTGAGATAAAATATTTCTCATCTGCTTCGTGAGATATATCTGGGATGAGGTTGGCACCTGCTGGCTCGCAGAGTTTTACCGTACGGCATCCGTTTTCGGCCAGCCGACTTTGATAAGGATTTGGTACCCTCAATAAAGGCCGCTGTAATAACCCTAAGACATAGCTACAATAGCACATGATATACATATGCCACAATGCTGGCCTTTTCGAATATACCACCGGCATACACTTCAGCAGGTAATCATTACTACTGACTAACTATGACACTCACGGCATATTTTTGTGGTCACTACTGAACCAGAGCACGTGTGAGAGGGAACTGCTTCTCGGTACATAAAGTAGGTGCAAGATCGACTTTACCACTCGTTCAAGCGTACGAGTACTCAACTAGAACTACCAGTCTCACACATGCTTACAGCTACTAAACCGTGTCTAAACTAGCTCTCAGATGAACGGATAGCTAAGCAGCGCCTCCCCAGCCAAATACAATCGATGACATCGCCAGCGAGCCAGATTGTACTGTTTTGTATATGTGCCTTTTCTCGTCAATTGTTTTACTTTGAGCAGCACGAGCTCTGCATCAGGGGCGGTCATCTACCTTTAGACCAGTGGTCTGCTGTTGCTTTGGGTTATTCTACTGAATATTATGTACACTCGTGAAGTCCCCAGCGAATGGTTTTAGTAACCACCCAGGCTGATGCATGCAGGTATCTAACAGCAGGCACATATGATTCATTACGAGTGTTGAGCTCCAGCCCGGATCATTGCACTTCAATGAGTCAGTCTGAGATACTGCTCTAAGCTCTCATCGGTGGTGTGTGTATCGTGACGTGCCTCGCCCGTGACCCAGATTATTGGAAGTGGTATGTTCTAGCCTACAAGTGCACATCGTTTATGTCGAGGGGCTGGTTTCAGCCCATAATTGGTGTATATAATATATCGTGTAATGCCTGACAATCAACCCGCCCCTGCTGCGATAAGCTCATGTCCTGTGTCGGAAACAGTGTTGCCGAAAGCATCGCACTTCAACAACTGGCAGTGGTCGAGTCTGGTCGAGTCTGGTTTAATGGGGCAAGTCAAAGGGTGGAAGATAAGTGCGTGAAAACAAGCCTCCGACTCCAATGCAACTTTTAGTACGAAATCTCAGGTTTCACTTCAACTCAGATATGAGCTGTACTTCCGAGTTTCGCCTATTGTACATACAAAATAACCCGAATTTTAAGTTTCACTTCAACCGGAATTGTCGAAATACACTTACTTCCTGAAAAGGTCATGCCGTGCAGTACGCTTGAAAGTGTGTCAGACTCATGCATATCGTTCCTTTGCCCACTTCCAGGCTGTGGCAAACAGTGTAGAGGGAGTATGAGGGGCTGGTAGCTTTTAAGAGATGACACAGGTACCAAATGAGTGTTTCGCCACTACAAGTGAACCTACAATTGTAAGTGGCGAATGACAATGGCTTCCGTAATTAGCAACAGTGAAATTTGGCGTATGGTCAGACAGTAAACAGGTCACAAATATGACATGGCTTTGGCTGAAGAATACACTCGGCAATTTTAACTTATGGCGTTGTACTGTGCCGGACGCTTCGCAACACTACTGCACACTGCGCAATAGTAAGAGACAGAAAGGAATTATAAAGAATAAAATGCATAACCACGCTCTATGTACTTTGGGAAAACATGAAATATCGAGTGAGAGAGAAAAAGATTGAACTAAATCATACACACGGATGTATTATTGGCTCAGAGATAGCAGGAACCCACATTGAACCCAAGTTTTATATACTTCAAGGCGGCACGGCAATAGAAAAAACGTACAATCACTGTACGAACCAATGAAAACGACAAACTCATTTTGGATGCACGGTCTACATGCTTTCAGTCAGCACGGAACAGAGACAAACATCAAACCATATTACACAAAACTTCCACATACTTCGAGACAGCACAAAGTCAGTAAAAGATGATACCACGTAATACTTCCTACATACATCTAGGCAGCGCAAAACCAGTAAAAGATATTACGACATAACATTCATACATACATCGAGGCAGCGCAAACCCAGTAAAGGTTACTACGGCATAACACTTCATACATATATCGAGGCAGCGCAAACCCAGTGAAAAATATTACGACATAACACTTCATACATACATCGAGGCAGCACAAAACCAGTAAAAGATATTACGACATAACACTTCATACATACATCGAGGCAGCGCAAAACCAGTAAAAGATATTACGACATAACACTTCATACATACATCGAGGCAGCACAAAGTCAGTGAAAGATAACACCACATAAATTAATTCTCCACACATACATCGAGACAGCACAAAGTCATTGAAAGATAATACCACATAAAATCGCGCCTTACCGGGCCGATATTCGCTGTATTGTTCTGACCGCCGCGCGAGATCAAGCAGGCTAATAAATGGGTGTGGCCATGTAAACTCGCCCTAAAAGTGTGAAAACATAAGTATGAGAAGGCCAATATAGTGAGGGTAAAAATCGCCCTATTTTAGTATATTGTGGGACATGGAAAATGGCGATGGCCGACCATTGGTAATTTTCCCCCGGAAGTGTGTCAAAAAATATAGGCAGAAAATTGGGTGAGAATAGCAACATGGAGTAGGGTAATATATCAAGCGAGCGTGGTCGTGTCATCTCGAACCTTCATGTGGACATAGATACAGGAAACTTGAATGCCAGCGGATTACGAACGCATTTTATCGGCTTCGCCCTACGCAATCGCCCAATAATATGATTCTGGAAAAATATGCATGAAACTCAGACAAGCAAAATGATGAGTGCCAACTCGCCACAGATTGTTGTGCAGAAACCCGCTACCACGCTCAACTGTAGAGACACACTAATTCCCAGGTGAGTATCACACAACAAACTGGTTCCCAAGCCGACAGCAAAATACCCACACGCGCAGTCCACCAAAACTATATAACATCCACACACACGTATTCTGAGCGTACAAATGATACCTTGTATAGGTATACTCAACTTCCACACTCAATCACTCAATACACATACCAATCCGCAGGCGTGTTGCCCACAGCGTCGAACTGGTTCACAAACGGCCCCCCGGCCGACAGCAGAATTTCCACAGACGCCGCCCACCCAAAACTCGCGGCCAGGTGCAGGACAGTCAGCCCTGCCCCGCTATTTTGGGCCGGATCGAATCCGAATTGATTCTGATTGGGCGATGGCAAGTTGTAGGTCTCGGTGGTAGGTAGGCGCTGTACCAGCGCCAGCGATAGGAGCGCCGGCTGTCCGACCTCCAACACTTTCTCCTCGGCTTGCATGATGTGCAGCATGAAGGTCGTGTAACCGTTGGCTGTGATACTCCCGGTTGGATTGACCTGGCCCTGGATTAGGGTACGTTGATATTGCGTTAGCAAAGTATCTGATTTATTCGTTAAATTTGTCGGAATAAATATATTTGTCAGATTAATTACAGTAATCGATGTAATCACATGGCTTGATGTATTTCCCCTAAAACAATAACAATAACAATAACAACCACAACCACAACCACAACCACAACCACAACCACTTGGAAACAATTTTGTGCATAGGTCTGAATGATAGTGACCTGACTGTGAGTTCCACTTATCCTCATACGACTAATCGCTGGTGACACTCTGGCACACCGACAGCTTATCGATCTCGCTATGCACTAATATGCCGATTACACTGCAGATCATATACATAATGTATACAGCCAAATATGTAAATATGTATTTAGCCATATATATATCCATGTATATACCCATATGCTCACACATATACCATCCGTTATACATACCTGTTTCGTGGTCAGATCAATCGCACTACTCACCCCCGTAGGGCTGACCGAAGATAGGACCCCACCCGCAAAACCCCCGCCACTACCTGTAGCCTTGTTAGTCAGCATCGCCACACTACTTCCTATATGGCCGTTACTATTAGGGTTGTTGGCGGTCAGTGAAGCCGAGGCATTCGCCTCATACTCGGACTGTTGATAGCGAGCGTGCAGCTCGAGCATAAAGCGCAGCAGCGTATCCTCTGAGAGTTGTTTGGTGTTTCCGTTGGGGTTGGGTCCGTGACCGTTGGGTGTGCCTGTGCTCATGCCCTGTGATGGTATGACATAAGAATCAAGCTAGTTAATATGAGCGGCACAGTAATAGTTTGGTAATTATGAGCCGTGATGATACCGTGATGACAGATAATAGAATCATGAGTGGTTAATGGGAGGCTGGAAGCTATGGTTACTCTACGTTGTGGTTGAATAAAACAGGTTGGTCTGGGTGTATTAGATGAACTTAATCTGAGCGTTGACTGTCTAATATATAACCAAGTTGGTTAAAGCAGGTGCCGAATTTATGTATAATCTGTGCCGTGATTGGAATAAACAGTATCAGGGTGGTTGATGGCAATGTTGATACATAGCACATCATCATTGTGGGAAATTATGAGCTGTGATTATATGTCATCTTTATTGTGGTTAATGAACCGTAGACGTAAAATGCGCAGAGCAAATTCGCGGCAAAGCATAGTCTATAACACAAGGTTAAACAGACTAACTTATAGACAAATGCAGAACACTAGCTATACTTCGTCTCAGCAAGTCATAACGCCAAACTCACAACTCGCTACATCAGACAACACTGACGCTCTAAAAAATCATCCTAGACATATATCATATATATATATACATACATATATATACATATACATATTTATATATAGATATATACATATATATATATATATATACATATA